CAACAAAGAAGCTTAGTCTCTTTTTATGGTCGCAAAAAGCTTTTCATGACTGAGTATGCGGCGCAGAGGCTTTATTACTGTTTTCGTCATTCTTTTCTGCACTTGACGCAAAAGTACGAGCCTTATATAGAGAAATGGATATTCTTTAGTAAAAGTTTTTTTGCAATTTGGCAGCCAACGATGGGGTCTTTGAAATTGAAAATAGTTCTTAAAGACGACAGGAGATATTATACTTACGGTGATGTTATTTCAGGTACGGTGGTTGTTTCAGTCTCGGACAAGGCCGATATTCGTGATATTATTGTTAAATTTGAAGGAACTTCAATAACCAAGAATCATCGGACAGTTCAGCGGACGGATGGTCAAGGTCAAACACGAAGCGAGGATAGGTATGTAATGATTCCGATAAATCTCATCGAGATTCCTTTGAAACTTTTCCCACCTCCGGATATTCAACATGTTTTGAGTAGCGATGAGCATACTCTCACTACAGGAAGCTATTACTATGATTTCTCAATAAAAATCCCAGATGAAAGTTCTGGCTTCAGATTACCACCTTCATTTTGTCATCATGCATTGGAAGATTTTGCTACTATCGAATATGCCGTGGTTGGGGTAGCACATAAAACCTCGGGGTTCTCTAGAACTAAGTCCGATTTCGAAAAGGTTAATTTTCATCCTTCAGGGACAGGTTTAAAGATTGATTCATCCCACGTTCTGAACAGAGATGGCTTCTTGCTTCCGTCATTTAATACATCACTCACCAGGTTAAAGTTTGAACCAATCGAATCCACTCAAAGAAATTTTTTCAAAAGATTGGTCTCTCATAAATGTATTAAGATCCCTTTTGAATATGGTATGTCTTTCAAGTCTGGAGAGAGCATCCAGACTGAAAAGGGAGGTACTGAGAGAATCATTCAAATGGGAGCAAACTTGAAGAATCAGATAAGTATCTTTTTAGGTATTCCAATCACGCCCGAAGCATTTCGTGGCTTGTTTTTTGAAAATTTTGCTGATTCAAAAAAAGAAGCCCACCCCGATCAAGCTAAAATCTATATTACCCATATTAATATCTCATTGAAAAGTTACGTAAATTATACTGCAGCTGTGACAGCGTATGATTTGCACTCACAGTGGACTCTTCGTGATGAAGATTGTGATTATCAATTAGACTTGAACGATTTCACTCCGGCTGATTACCATGGAGAAGGAGATGCATTCCGAAAAATAAGCTCCAAAATTGAACATCTTGCTAGCCGGGAAAATTTCCACATGCTTGAATTACCAGAACAGTTTTTCGATTGTGAAATACCAGACAATTTGACTCAATCTTTCTGTGCACAAAATATTGATTATAATCACGTATTATCAATAAACTTAAAGGTTAAAATTTATCCCGGTGATCGTACTGATAAATTTTATCTCAGCTCAAATATAATTCTTACAAATACTAACTCAGAACCTGCTCCTCCTAGCTATCAGCCGAAATAGAATTTGATTTATAATAATACCATCTAGAATATACTTTTTTTTTGCATTAGCCGGTAACTTGAAACCTTCGCTATATAGAAAACTTATTGTAAAAAAGCACAAGTTTTCTTGAGAATTCTATGATATTTTTATTTGGTGAAGCCAGAATGCAGTTACGAGAGCTTTTCGTTTTAAATAGAATCTTTGATTGCAAAACGCTTGCCGTTATACTTTTACTTGACTATAAAATATAATAAAGAACCAAATATAACTTTTAATTAGAATTATAACTTTTAATGATAAATATGTTAAATGTAGCTAGGGAATTGTATCACTTTGATTATTATTCAAATCTTTATTAATTTTTGCCCATAATTCAAGAATCTCACTTAAATAGTCAACTCTCTCATCGTACCCATCTAGAGCTTCTATGGGTTTCAATTCCGGGACGGAAGTATCAGAATCGTGTATAATTTGATGCCTTTATAGGCTTGCCAATCACCATCTTCCTCTGAAATAGTCATCCCATTCATTTCAATAAATGCACACATATTATCATTTAAACCTTCACTTATGATATCATATTTATCCCTATAAGGGATTCTATAATTATCTTCTGGGTTGAAGTTCTCAGACATTAGTAAATGTCGTCATCCTGGCTATAAGTCATTATGAGAATTGACAGACTTTATAACTTCTTTCCAAGTACGATTAAAGCTGCTAATTATAGAGTCTTTCAAAATTATCAGGCGCTGCCGTGCGTAGAAAGGGAGTTTAATGTACTGCCTACGTATCTTAGTTAGAAGGAATGCTTCACCTGCAAAAGGTAATCACTCTCGAAACTAAAATAAGATAAGAGCTCATGGTGCCAAATCATGCCATCCGAATCCTGTTTTTTCGTTATAATTGTTGCAAAAAATGAGACCTCGCATCTGTGATGCAAAAAAAAAAAAGAAAAATACAACAACCTAGTGGTTCAAATATTTAGCACAACGCTGTAAAGGACAAGCTCTAATTGATGTAGATAATGGTACTCATTGTATCAATTAGAGGGTCTCATTTTAAAACCTAGAATAAGCATTTTTGATAACCGAACAACGAAACTTATTAATCATACTTACGAGCTTCTAATTTAGTTATATCGTATTGTAAGGCACATCATGCAAACTAAC